ATTTAAAGTGGTCCTATCAGAGGAACACTTCTGGTTTCTTGTCCTCTTTCCCATCCTCTTCCCTCTCCAGCTGGAAGTCCATTCTAAAACCAACCCGCACAGCTCTGCTGCACGGCAGCCCTGTCATCAGTGTAGATGAGGAACAATCAACACCCTTTCATGTTTGTGCCCTGTCCTCGCCTCTCCCCACCTCTTCTTCTCTGGCTCCCATAGTGCCCTCCCTAGCCCCATCCTCACCTCTGTCCTGCCTCCTTTTTCCACCCCAGGGCTGAAGTAGCTGGGTCTGGGCGGTGGGGTGGCCCTGCACTAGAGCAGCTGAAGGAGGTAGTGAACACAGCTGCCTGCCTCCTGGTCATCGGTCCTCAGCACGTGCCCCACGTCGGGGTGCCAGCATCTGTGTCCAAGCCCTTGTTCACCTGAACTGCTCCTCCAAGTGGGGCAATGGGGAAGAGTCTAGTCTTGGTCTGCAGTTTGGCTAATATCAACCTCCCGCTCTCCCCTCCCCCTAGGGTCTTTTTTTTCCTGCCTGTTGCCAGGTTCTGAGTGTATTTTTTCCAGAGGCCTCCAATTGTTTCCTGAAGAAACCTGATCCCAGAGCTCAGACAAAAGCTGGGGCCGCCAGAGGAGAAACCCCATTCTCTCCTGTTTTGTCCCTAACCACCCCCTCACCCCCCATCTCCATAACTATCCTTACTTTGGATACTGGGTCTGGGTTCCTGGACCTGGCTGCCATCACCTTGGCAACAGGGGGCTTTTGTTGCTATGGTGATCAATGTGGGAGAAGCTGGGCAACCAGAACAAAAGTCCCCACCTCCCCTCGGTCCTCCCCCCAAGACCCTTGGGATGATACTGAGACACATTCCATTAATTTTATTTCTGAAAGGCCTTTGGAGGGGAGAAGGGTCTCCTTTTTGTGACAGGCTCTCTCTTCCCTCCCTTCTCTATGGTCTTTTAACCCCAGATAATCCATGGTTGGTTTGAGCTGAGGACTGAGTAAGTGTGTTTGTGTGTCTTGGGGCTGGGAGCAAGGTGAGAAGTGTTGGCTGGGAGCAAGGTGAGAAGTGTTGGGATGCATTCCCTTTCACAACCTGCCACCCCCCACTCCCAACCAAGGCCCACCCTGCCCCACACCAAGTCCAGCTTTCCTTTCTTTCCACTTGTTGATCTCATCCAATGATCCCTGCCCCCACTCTCTTTCCTGGGAACGCTGCCCACCCTGGAGACCCTCCAAACCTCTCATTCCTGAGACTGATTATACCAGGGGAACTTCTGCCCTTCTGTTTGCTCATCTACCGTCCCTCCACGCAGCCCCTCCAGTGCTGGGCTTAGTTTCCTGGGGTACTTGAGAGGACAGAAATTGGTCTCTGAAATTGGGTTCATTTTTGGCCCCCCGTTTGGCAGGGGAGGGAGAAGCATGCTTCGGTGCTCTTTGGGTACCCTGATTTGGGTTGGTAGGGGTGGGAGAAGCAGGCCAGGGGAGAAGCAGGGTTTATGTTTGGTCTTTAATAAGTAGCTGGGAGAAAGGTAGGGCCCTAGGCTGAGCCGCTCAGAACAAAGGGCTGGGGTGGGGGAGGGCACTGGCACCCTTGTCTGGTTTGAAATTTATCTGTGGGGGAAACACAATGGCATTGGCTTTCCTCCTGGGTGTATTTGAAGCGGTGGTTTTGGTAAGAGGTGTGTGTGTGTGTGTCTGTGTGTGTATGACTTCTTTATTTAGTCATACTAACACCAAGATTTATTTATACTACCTCTTTTCTAAGTCTCAGAGGAAGTGTCTAGGGATTGGAGTATGCGGGATCCTGGAGCCAGAGCATATTAATTGCTTACCTAATTACTAGCTGAGCAGTTTATGAAAGCACGTCTTTCACCCCCAGGATCCTCACAGCAACTCCATCAAGTATATATCATTATTTTCCTGGTTTTGCTGATGAGACTACCAGACTACAAAGCACAGAGACTTGCCCATAGTCACAGAGCTAGTCAGTGGGAGAGCTAGGTTTTGAATGCAGATGCTTGGGTGCAAGTCCCAGGCTCTTTTTGCTGATGGCTCTGGCAGATGTGAGTATTTGGATATGACTGAGGAGATGGAGTCTGGGTTCTGGTGTCACTGCCTGTACCCCAGTCCAACGGCAGTCCTTTCCCCCTTAACGTCTCCACCGCTATCAGTCTGTAATCCACTTGCTCTCTCTGAACCTCCTGGTGAAATTCATGTTTTAAGAGGAGGACTAGAAAGAATGGGCTGACCCACAGGAAGAGAGATGCAAGAGAGATGTCTCAGGTGGGCCAAAAGTAGGTGTACAGTTGTTCATGTGGAAAATAATGCAGTAATTATTAAAGAATAGTATGAAAATAAACTCTGTGTTTCACATACAACTGTAAGCCTATTTTTGCCCCACCCTGTGTACTGAGGACTAAACCAGTAGAATGGGTTCTTAGGAGGCAGGTTCCCAAGATGGAAACTGGACACAGAGCGACCAGCAAGGACCCAACTTGTGGCAAAGGTTTTCAGAGAGGTCTGTGGTTGGGTTAAGGTCTATGTCTCTGTCCCTGAGGTGTGTTTCTGTTACACACTTGCCTTGACATGGGGATATGACAAACATCCCTAGACCATGGAGTGCCTCCAGATAACTCGGTTAGGAGGATAAATGAATGGACTTAGCATTGATTTCTTAGCCCTGCATTCATTGGTTTCCCTGCGAGTCAGAGGCATATTTGTTTACTACATGGGTGTCAGTTACTTGCTCTGTGCCCAGGGGTGGTTGGTAGATACCATTATAGTCATTCACAAGTTGCCGGTGGTTTAGTTTTATTGGGGAAAAGTTAACAACTAAACAAAGCAAACTCATATTAGTTCTTAACATAATCAGGCTCTCAGCAGCACTTGACCTGGCTGATTTTATTCCTACTTTGAAAAGCTCCGAGTCCTTGGCTGCATGAGAGCCCACTTCTCTGGCCTCACCTTCTCAGCCCTTTGTCTGCTCCTTTTCCTCTGGACACATTTGTATGTTGGGGTTCTCAGGGACCTCTTATTTAATTACCTAGGTGATTCCATTCATTCCCATGACCTTGCAGCTCCAACTATTGAGTCCAGCTCCTCTGACACCAGTTTGCCTACTCACCTGCCGCTAAGGCCATGAACTCAGCATGCTGGAAATGGAAATCATCATCTTCCCTGCCAAACTTGCTTCCTCCACAGTATTCCCTACTTTATAATGGCACTGCCATCAACTCTCTCAGGCCAAGGAGAAAGAGTTCCCCTCCCCCCAACCCTCCCAGTCAGTCCTCATTCGGTCCTTCGGATCCTACCACAAACATTTGTCTCAAATATGACTATTTCGTACCACCTTTGCTGCTCTGTCCCATTCAAGTCTGCATGGCTGCAGTAACTTCCTTACTGATCTCCCTGTTTCTGCTTTTCCCTCTTTCCAGTCCACGTTTGCATAGCTAAAGTCCTTTGCAGACTTTCCATTGCTTAAAATAAAACCCGAGCTTTTCACTGGGCCCACGGATCCTGTGATAACCTGGCCCCAGGCTACCTCTTCAGCTCTCACTTCCACTGCCCTCTCCCTTCGTCAGCTCCACTGGTCCTTTAAGGTTCTTAAAATGCACTGAGCTCTTCCCTGCCTTTGGCCTTCCCACATGTGAGTCTCTGCTCCATGTGCTTCTCTTCCACTTTGCTTGGTTAATTCCTGATCTTCTTTAAGCTTAGGTGTCATTTTCTCAGAAAGATTTTTTCAGAGCCACCCAGTTTAAAGTAGTTGTCTCTCATAGTTTCCTGATCTTCCCCTTTCATCAGCCATACTGTTAGTCGTTTATGCTCCCCTGTTTACTTGCTCAGTGTACACCTGCCCTGCTAGAATGTAAACTCAGAGCCTGTTTCACTACCAGATACCCAGGGTACACAGTTCATAGTAGGTGCTCAAGAAACAGCTGAGGACTCAGTGAGTGAAGATCAAACATAAATAGTCAGTGCATGGTGATGATTGGTGGGGTCAGAGTCAGAGGGGAAGATAGAATATTGGGGGGGCTAGATTAGGTGTGAGGGGTGGACTTCTGAGAAGGGGTGAGGACTGGTTCTGAAGAATGAGCAGAATTTGGGTGAGAGTTGGGGAGGAGGGGGGAGGGAGAGGTCATTTCCTCTGAAGAATTAGAATGTAAAAGTATATATGGGAGATGCTGCCCCTCAGCCCACAAATAGCCAGATAAACTCACCGTCTTGCTCATTTCAGGATGCTAGGCAATGGTTTCTACTTTCCTTCTCCCCCTACCCCTACGACTTGCCATTCCTCACCCTGCCCCCAGTACATTCATGCACAAACACACATACTCAGCCTCCAGGGGAGCAGCCGGCTTGACCTGGCAAGTAATTATGGATGTGTTTGACGTAGATGCTGGGGAGATGGTGCCAGGAAAACAGGTATAGGCAGCCCCCAGTGGGCACACTCAGAGGCTGTGAGGCGGGGGTGGGACATAACTGCAGGGTGAAGGGGAGGCCTGGGATAGCGTTCTGCTCTCTGGGGTCTCCATCTGTCCAGACTGTTGACCTGGCTAGCACTGTACTCTCTGAGCCTCAGGTTCCCTGGCTGAGAATAGGAAAGCATTGCCCTGGTTCTCTCCTCCAGAGTTGGGTCATTCTCGGAGGGCTTTGCTGGCATCCCTCTACACCGAGCCCTTGTCACAGTCTCATGGGGGCTCTTTCCAGGATGCAGGGCAGTAGGAACTGGGCCCCTTGGATAGAGTAGGAACCTGAGTGTTACAGTCTCAGGCAGTGGCTAGTCTCCCCTCAGCTTACTGAGGCTTCCACTCAGGGATGATTTTCCTTTGTACTGAGTTCCCCCTTCCCCTCCTCAAGAGCTTATCTACCCTTAACCAGTTGCTTTTTCTCCCCAGGAGCGTCGCTTGATTTTCTCTGAGACAAGCCCACCCGTCCAGCAAAATAGAGTCCCTCAGGGTGACGGTTGATTTCCTGAAGGTGCCCCTCGGCCTGAAGAAGCCGGTGCTGAAGGAGGTGGCTGTGGGGCCCCCGCAAAGGCCCCAGCCTGTGGCCCTGGAGCGCTACAAGGCACGGCGTTCAGACGCCATGGACACCGAATCCCAGTACTCGGGCTATTCCTACAAATCGGGCCACTCCCGCAGCTCCCGCAAGCACAGGTGACACAGGTGGCAGAGGGAGGTTGGGAGTGCTCCAGAAGTAGGTACCTGTAGGGGTAGTGGGGTGAAGGTGGCTGCCGAGAAGACCCAGGTTCTCCTGTTGACCTTCTGTGCCCGTTCCCCTGGCCTCCTGTTGCAGGGACCGACGGGACCGACACCGCTCCAAGAGCCGAGATGGGAATCGTGGGGATAAGTCCGTGACAATCCAGGCTCCTGGGGAGCCCCTGCTGGACAATGAGTCCACTCGAGGGGATGAGCGGGTGAGCATCATGGGATGAGGTGCAGAGAGGGGAAGGGTCTGGGAGGCTGGTCCAGATCTGAGAGGGCCTGTTGTATCTGTCCCAGGGTCAAACCCTCCTTCAGGAGAATTCAGGGAATTTCAGTAGAAATCTTATTGGGAGCAACAGCTTCTTTCTTCCTCGTCTCCAGAGAGGTGGGGTGACCTAGGCTGTATAGTGGGAATTCCCTGGTTCCCCTCACCAATGCTGGTCAGTAAGGCTCCTGGGAAGCTAGAGTAGAAGGGCTGGCGCTATATGATGCCTGGGGGTATGAGCAGCCCGGATTTTTCTTTGAAGCCTTAAGGCAAGAGAACTCTGGCCCCCTCTGGTGTTGGCCTGTAGAAGAGCATGGCCTGGGTGTTGGGTAAATGGGTAAATGCCGTGTCGGAGAGTCAATGGAGAAAGAGTAGGGAGGAGAAGTGAGGCCTGGCAATTGAGAGGGGGCTTGAAGAGAGTTCTCCAGGGCCAGAATGCACCTTCTTTAACCTCTGTTGCCCACGGTGCTCAGCTGGTAGGGAGGTTGGTAGGCAGAACACAGTGCTAGTAATAGGGCAGAGCTGGGATGTGAGATGACCATAGGTTGCCCATGTCTCGTTCTTCCTCTTTCTTCTTGGGAGCATCTTAGGGGGCTGGAGACTCCCAGCTCTGTTCTCCTCACAAGAACTCTTTGTGATTGACATTGGGAATTCCTGGTCTTGGGGACAGGTCAGTACCCAAGCGAAGTGTTTTTTCTCCCTCTTTTGCAGTCCTATCTTCTCCCCGAGACTGGGTCTCCTGAGTTCTTAAAGTGACCCCGAGATGAGATAGGCTCACTTGCTGTTGGGAGGTGTGCCCAAGCCTTGATCCTTTGGAAAGGGTAGGCGATGTGTCTGAGGTCACACTAGAGTGAGGAGTGGACCCTGTTCTTTGAGCTGAAACTGGTTAGTGCCTCCACTTTCTGTCTTCAGATCGGACTCTTATCCTTGGGAGAGGAGCTTCGTCAACCTCCTACTCATGGACTCTCTCAGGCAGTCTCCCGTGTGCCCCATCCCATGTCTCAGTCCTGTAACCTGAATTGCCTGGGTATAGGATGTGACTCCATATCCCCAGGCTGTCCAGGAGTGAAGAGCATGGATGCTGATGGTCACTGGTGGTCTTTGGGGCTCCTCTGTGGGATGGTATCTAGCCTCTTCAGAGAAACAGTTTGAGAGGACCACACTCAGAAGGGCATCTGGGGACCTCAGCCTCTCTGCCCCCTTGCCTCCAGGAATAGGCAGCCCCTGTGCTGGGGCCATGTAGATGACCCAGAAGAGCTGGCAGACCACAGAGCCAGAGTGGCCCTAGTCAGCACCATGTCTCCCACACTCTGCAATAATCACCACCCTCCCTTCCCCTTGGTGCTCCCTTCTCTTCACCATGCTACTTTTGTTACATTATTCCCTTAGTCAGAAACGTCTGGTGGCTCTCAATGCCTGGAGAATAGGTGTTTCTTGCTTACCCTGGTATTGCAGGTCTCCTACCTGCTGTGCCTGATGTGTGTGACCTCAAGTTCCAGTTACTGCCTGAGCATCTCCCTCAGTATCTTTTTTGTGCCCTCTTCTCTGAGGGTCATCTGTGCATGTGCAGGTGGTTTTTTGTTTGTTTGTTTGTTTGTTTTTTTGTTATTCTGACCAGTGTGAAGCTCCCCAATGTCCAGGGCTCAGCTGTCCTGTTCCTATGGAGGTCAGGCTTGGACACAGTGGAGCTCAGGCGGTACCTTGATGGCTTCATACTGGCTGATTACCCTTGCATTTTCTCCTCCTCTCTCACGCTTCCTTCTCTGTCTTCCTCCCCTTGTCTGTTCTCCTGTTCTCCTGATCCCCATTGCTGTAGGATGACAACTGGGGGGAAACGACCACAGTAGTAACAGGTACTTCAGAGCACAGCATCTCCCACGATGACCTCACGCGAATCGCCAAGGACATGGAGGACAGTGTCCCACTGGACTGCTCCCGTCACCTGGGGGTGGCTGCTGGCACCACGCTGGCGCTGCTCTCCTTCCTCACACCGCTGGCTTTCTTGCTGCTGCCCCCTCTGCTGTGGCGGGAGGAGTTGGAGCCCTGTGGGACAGCCTGCGAAGGCCTTTTCATCTCTGTGGCCTTCAAGCTGCTTATCTTGCTCCTGGGCAGCTGGGCCTTGTTCTTCCGCCGTCCAAAGGCCTCGCTGCCCCGTGTCTTCGTGCTGCGTGCCCTGCTCATGGTGCTCGTTTTCCTGCTCGTTGTCTCTTACTGGCTCTTCTATGGTGTGCGCATCCTGGACGCCCGGGAGCGCAGCTATCAGGGTGTGGTACAGTTTGCCGTGTCGCTGGTGGACGCCCTGCTCTTTGTGCACTACCTGGCGGTCGTCCTGCTGGAGTTGCGCCAACTGCAGCCTCAGTTCACACTCAAGGTTGTGCGCTCCACCGATGGGGCCAGCCGCTTCTACAACGTGGGCCATCTCAGGTATGACCACCTGGGAGCAGGCAGACAGGCATGGGAAGGAGGCTGGGGGACCACAGGACAAGGGGGTACACCGGTGGGGCTGGAGATGATGGGCAGGGAGGGCTGGGTGGAAAGGAGTTCTCCGCAGTGTCTGCTGCTTGATGCCCAGAGTCTGGAGGCACAATGTGGTGGGAGTGAGCAAATGAACAGTTAGAGATCTTACAGGGGGATTGGCCAAAGAGGCAAAAGTTGTGGCACAAACAGACTTTTGGGATTCACTTTCCTATTTGTGTCTTGGAGGCACAGCCTCTTGTGAGCACAGGGTGAGTGGTCACTGAGATGAGCTGGCCAGAGAGGGGGATCCCCAGGGCAAACAATAATGAAGAGAGCTCTTCAGCCCTGCCCCCACCCCAGACTTGTGGACAGGATGCTCCCACATCATACGGACTATACAGAGTATCAGTAGCATTTCTTGGTCCTATAGGGAATCTTGGGGAGAATCTTGAAAGGGATTAGTGACCCTTGGCTGGGAACCCAGGTCCAATGCCCTTTTTCCCCTGGGCTTCAGCGTGGCAGGGAAGGACTAGGAGGCCCAGCCCTGGGAAAGGCTTGGGAGCCTGGTATGTAGACCTCAGGCTCTGAGCCAGACTTCCTGGAAGCAGCGTGTCCCTGTCCTGTGTCCTTCCCTGCCCTACCAACCTGCCCTGATGTATCCCTTCCCCTTGTGCCCCTTGTCTGTCCCTCCTCCCTCCCCCTTCTGTGTCTCCCCCACAGCATCCAGCGTGTGGCAGTGTGGATCCTGGAGAAGTATTACCATGACTTCCCTGTCTACAACCCCGCCCTTCTCAACCTGCCCAAGTCCGTCCTGGCCAAGAAAGTGTCTGGCTTCAAGGTGTATTCCCTTGGAGAGGGTGAGCAGCCCTGCTCCTCAGCCGTCCTGGTCTCTTCTCAAGCAGGATTCCAAATTACCTCCTCCCAGTTTCTCTCACATCCTCCTTCCCTTGCTTTCTCCTTTCCTCAGCCCTTGTTCCAGCCTTTTCTATTCTGTCCTTTCCCTTGACTCCAGGTGGTTGGTCTTAGCTGCTGATCTTTCTTGCTGTCCCATTATGCCATGGTGTATCCTCCCAGTCTGGCTCATCAGCCCTGGTCCTAAGCCCTTGGCTCTCTGAGCTCCAGAATCTCCTGCACTGGCAGGGAACACGTGCAGAGCTTTTGCTCTCCAGTGCCATCTTGTTTCCTTTGGGTCTCTCCCAGGCATGGCCATGAGGGTTGGGAACAGGAGGTATTGGCCAGGGGTGGGCACAGCTTCCTCAGGACATGTCAGGTTGCTGTCTCCAGGCTTCCTGGAGTGAGAAGCAAGGCCATGCTCCAAAGTGCCCATCGCCCCTCTCTCCTGCTCCTGTGCAGAAAACAGCACCAACAACTCCACAGGCCAGTCCCGGGCTGTGATTGCTGCAGCGGCCCGGAGGCGGGACAACAGCCACAATGAGTACTACTACGAGGAGGCAGAGCATGAGCGGAGGGTGCGCAAGCGGAGGGCCAGGTGGGTCCCTGGAGGGCAGTGGGTATGGATAGACTCAGGAGAGGAAGACCATATGGTTTGTGTAACTGCTGGCAATAGATGGATGAGTGAGTGATGACAAAGGTGGGGTATGTATTCATGTTCTGTTGCTGCCAAAACAAGTCACCGTTAAGTCAGCTCTGTAAAACAACAAACCTCTGTTACTTCACAGTCCTCTGTGTCAGGTGGGGTTTACTGGACCTGTGTCTAGGGGCTGGAATTTGAGCCTGGGTTGTTTTCCAGACTCACTGGTTGCTGGCAGAACCTTGTCACCTGGCCCTGTAGGCAGTTCACAACATGCGGTTTGCTTTTTTCTTGAGACCAGCAGGAACAGGTCTCTGACTTCTGCCATCAGCCAGGGAAAACTGCTTTGAAAGGGCTCTCATGGTAAGATCAGGCTCACCATGACAATCTCATATTTTAAAGTCAACTCATTTGGTGCTTTAATTGTATCCTGAAAATGTATGATGGTTATTGAATCACCAGGGAGTGGGAACCTGGCAGAGGTGGATGGGGGCATCTTTGAATTTTGCCTACCATAGTGGGCCAGAGAACCAGTGAAAGGAAGTGGGTCTCCCCTGAGGCAGCAGGGACCGAAGCTGATGAGACCTACCAGCAGACCTTGAAGGCTTGCTCAGTGAATGGTACATTTTTACCTGCAAAAAATGAAGGTCCAGTGCCATACCTTGGTAAACTCTTAAAGGCTGTCCTCACTCCTCCCTTTTTCTTATTCACATTATTGTGCAAATTTAAGTAGAGCCTGAAGGAGCTTTCTTGGTGCCTACTGCTGGGTCTGTCAAGATTTCCAAGGGGAGGAGCAGAAGGTCTCAGGTCCCTCCTGTCACATGGATATCCAGGTCTCAAGGGAGGAAGGTGGCCCTTAGCCTGTCCTGAGGTGGAGGCACCTTAGCCTGGTGTCTCCAGCAGTAGATCAAAGATCACCAACCCCATTTCTGCAACATTCCAGCATGTTTCTAATTGTCTTAGAAGTGGCCCTCCTAGGAAGGAAACCAGAGATGTCCCCTGCTCTCTTACCTTCTGCCCTGTCTAAGGTCTTTGGATCTTCTGCATGACCACCACCCTTCTTGGCCTGTAGGAACCGTTTCCTTCCCCATTTCCTGGGTTATAAGCAGAAGAAAACTTTTTTCTCTTGGTTCACCTGAGACAACAGGATCATTTGAGAAAGAACTTTACTGAGAAGCTTTGGTGATGCAAAAGAATAAACAGAGAAACTGTTGATGTACACAGATGCACATGTTCACTTAGCCCAGGATCCCTTTCTAAGCTACTTGAAGGGCTTATGAACTGGTGTTGTTTTGTGTGTCTCTATGTTTTTTGACGTAAATTGGCCTGTTTTTCCTGTTTGCCCCTTAACACTGTGTATTTGAGATCCACTGATGTTGTCTACACATCCACCTTGTTGCATCCTATCTCTGCAGAGCAGTTCATGGAATATTTACAGCATCCTAACCAGTATTTGAATTATAGTCATCTTCCTAATTTTTTCCATTTTATTAGATAAGTAATATCTTATTAACATTTCAAATATCCCTCTAATTACCAGTAAGTGGCTAATATATTCTTTTGCCTTTTAGGGCTCTTGTGAATTGTTTGTTCATCTCTTTTGCCCATTTTTCTGCAGTGTTCTTGCCCTTTTTTTTTCTTGATTTCTAGCAAATTCCTTGCAATCTGCCACTGTCCCAGTAGATGTTCACTAATGTTGCTCATGCTGTTGTGGTGAATAGAAATCTGTCATTTTGATGTGGTTGTATCTATTCATTTTTCTCCCAATGAAGTGTGTTTGGAGTGGTGTATTTAAGAAGGCTTTTTTTCAGGGTTTGCTGGGCTTTTCCATAGCACAGTTCCTAGTTGTCTCTCTGGGTTTGACACTAGAGTGTCCTCTTTGAGTGCCTGGGCTGGGCTGGCTCACTGAGCTCTACAGCTGTTTCCTGTCCCCATTGGGGGTAATGCCCTCCCCCTCCCAGTGCTTCCTCAAGAGCACAAAGGCCTGACCTTGTTCTGGCTACTGGAGGGCTGGAGCCGGGGGTGGAGGAAGATGAGAGGTGTGTGTCTGGTCCAGACCCCTCCTGTCCCTCAGGCTTGTGGTGGCGGTGGAGGAGGCCTTCACTCACATTAAGCGGCTGCAGGAAGAGGAGCAGAAGAACCCCAGGGAGGTGATGGATCCCCGGGAGGCAGCCCAGGCCATCTTTGCATCCATGGCCCGTGCCATGCAGAAGTACCTCCGGACCACCAAGCAGCAGCCTTACCACACCATGGAGAGCATCCTGCAACACCTGGAGTTTTGCATTACACACGACATGACACCCAAGGTAGGCCTGCTCTGCCTCCGGCATCCTTCCTTTCTCTAATTCTGGCCCCTTTTTTTCTGCTTCTATTTCCCCATGTTCTTTCACTTCTTTCCTTACTCTTCCTCTCTCTCTCTCTCTTTCTCTCTCTCTCTCTTTCTCTCTCTCTCTCTCTCTCTCTCTCTCTCTCTCTCTCCACACACACACACACACACACACACACACACACACACACCCACCCACCCACCCACCCACCCACCCACCCACCTTGTTATTTTCTCTTTTCCCATTTCTACCCCATCCACCTCATCTCTGTGTCGGGTAAAGTTCTTAATGGTGAGGAGAAGGGGGAACTTTGGAACAATTTTGAGAATGGCTGAGTCCTATTCCTCATCTCTAGAAGAGCTCTGGAATTTCCAATCCAAAATCCCACAATCACTCCTTCACTTCCACCAGGTCTTTTTTGTTCTCTCTGAGACATTACCTATCCCTCAACTCTACTGTCCACTTCCTGGACGTGCCTCCCCTGCGTCATCCTTGGTGAATAAGTGACTAAAGATGTAGTACTTTAACCATGACACCTCTAGCTTTCTGCTGGTGCAGAGCTGCTTGTCACTAACCATGCCAGCTGAATGGAGAGGAAGGAGGAATACAGGAGGGCTTGCCTAGGTTATTACATGGTGCAGGGGAAAGAGCAGAGGATGAAGGCATCAGGAGAGCAGAGTTCCAGTCCTGACCCTGCTGAACCACATCATCTCTTTGGGTTCCCACTTCCTCATTTCTAAAGCAAGTGTCTGAAGCAGATGATGTCAGGCTTCTTTCTGCTCTGACATTCAAAGATCATATGCAGAGCGAGGTGGGGGCCTCTTGGTTGTCTTTGGAATGCAGGATGGAGGGTGGGCGGGAGAGCTTCTTACACAGCTCCTTCTCCCCCTTGGCAGGCCTTCCTGGAGCGGTACCTGGAGGCTGGGCCCACTATCCAGTACCACAAGGAACGCTGGCTGGCCAAACAGTGGACACTGGTGAGCGAGGAGCCAGTGACCAATGGGCTTAAGGATGGCATCATTTTCCTGTTAAAGCGCCAGGACTTCAGCCTGGTGGTCAGCACCAGGAAAGTTCCCTTCTTTAAACTCTCTGAGGAGTTTGTGGACCCCAAGTCGCACAAGTTTGTTATGCGGCTGCAGTCTGAGACCTCGGTGTGACTGTAACAGCAGTGGGAATGGGAGACTGGGGGGAGGGGGCTCGTGGGGTGATGGGCAGGGCCTGGTGCTCAAGCTAAGTCCCCTTCCCACAGCCCTTATTCCTCTTGCCCTTTTTTTTTTTTACTTGAATTAACTTACCCCTAACCTGTCTCTTCCTCATTTACCCCTTGTGAACCTGGGGAGCCCATCCTGCTGCCAACAGTACCTGGGAAATTCCCTCTCCTCTGCCCTCCTCACTTTTATATCTTTCTAGGCCCTGCAGGAACCATTGCCTCTCTCCTTCTCCTCTCCCTGGATGATGGTCTTTTTTGAAAGTGCACAGGGCTCTCCTGAGCCCCCACTATCAAATCCAGGTTCTTGTGGCTGTTCTCTCCAGTGGCTTCTGACAGGGTGTCTCTGGGGCACACAGATATGTCTCCAGAGACCCATGGTGCCAAACTCCTCCAGGGCAGGAGTTTCCCCAAACCTCCAGATGGCAGGTGATTGGCCCCTTCTGCTACTCACTACACCTGTAACAGATTCTGAGTTCTTGGGTCAAGGATATACCTGTGTCCTCCCACACAGCCCTGAGTTAGGGGTCCCCTGCCAGGGTCATTTGCTTCCAGCAGTTAAGAGCTTCCCACACCCAGCCACACATATTCAGAGTAAGAGAACATCCCTTTACTCTGAAATCTCCACTGTCTGTTTCTGACTTGTATGGTCATGTGTGACTGTGGGTAAACTGAGGCAGAAAATGTCTGTGACCTCCTTTCCTGGGTCCTTTCTTCCTATGGCTCTTTCCTAGGCAGCTCTTGAGGGAAGGGCTGGAGAGACCCCGCCCCCCACCCCTGGGAACATCACTGATCCTTGCCCTCTGAACCTGCCCTCAACTTCATTCCCACCTTAGTGGGGCAGGTTCCCCTTCTCAGTGAAGGATGGCATGTAGACTCCTGTACAGAATTAGTGGCTTGTGGACCCAAACTCAACACCGGTGGTCTTAGGCAAACATTTTTCTTTCTTTCACCAGCCACCCCCAGTCTTGCTGTCTCTTCCTTTAACTCCAGAGACCTGCTGCCTCATCTCTTTTTTAGGGGGAGCCAGCAGCCCCTCTTCATTCCCTGCCTTAAGTCCACCTCTTTATCTCAGGGGTCTCTTTTCCTTGGCTGCCAGGGTCCCCTCCTCTTCTCTCTCTGCCTGGTTCTCTGGGCTCTGGTCTCCCTCTGTACTGAGGTAAAGGACCAGGATTGCTGCCTTTTGTGGGTACTTAGCCCCTTACTCCATTTACCTTTCATAGTCTCTTCACTCAATCTGAATTCCTGAGAATTTTCATCTCATTGTGAGCGAAGTTCACTGGCCTCTAATACATGTATTCAGTGTAAATCTGAGCCTTTAAGTCATGTAGTTTAGCCAAGTGGAATGGAACTAGGAAGCATCCAGATACCTCCATCCAGGATCCATGTGGTGGACCATTCTGCTGACTTTGGCTGGTATGTGCCCAGGGTCCTCTAAATAACTCATAATGCCCCCTGTGGGCCTGTCTTTTCCCTGGAAAGCTCACTGGTTGTTGCCTTGTAGAGTGCACCCTAGGTTAAGATCCCCATTGATGTCTCAGCAGGGAGGCTTCCTCTCTGTGTTGTGGCCTTCCTGGGCTCAGGGGAGCCTAGTGATTGGTGTTTCTCCTGCTGTTCTTTCTGAAAAAGCACATTTGTCCATCCAACACTTACTAAAGAAGGGCTCTTCAGCCAGTGCTTACCTTATTCCCACAGGGGTGGTTTTTGGGGCTGACTTAGGCAGGGTCTGGAGGTCCGCCTTGGCCTGGGGCTGTGGGTTTTGGATAGACCTGAGGGAAATACATCCTCTCCTGGGGATATTTGGAAAGTGTCTTTTCTTCAGAGACCTGGTTTCAGAGGAGCCCCTCTGGGTCACATTTCTAAATACCTCACTATCGTGCAAAATGGGGCCTGGATGGTGATTGGGGTCATTATCTTTGTGGGCAGGACTGGGGTATGGTATGGTTTGAGGACTGAGTTGGAGAGGGAAACTATTTGGGATCTTCGTTGCTGTCCTAGGTTAGGGGCAGGGGAGTATTTATTTTGAGGACCTGCCATGTTTTTGATCACTGTGATGTTTTCATTCCCTTTTCCTAAAACAAAAATAAATACCGCCCCCCCCCCCACACTCTCTCTCTAAGCACTAAGGGCCATGACTAAGAATGATAGTCTTTTGGTCCTTTGCATCAGAACTGTGGTATCTTTGTCTCCTTTGATTATTATTATTATTTTTAAAAATGGGACGAATTGTCAAGTATATGGCTGTGTTTGTCCTTTGCTTCTCCTGTATGGAAGGTTGCCTTCATGCTGTGAACTGCTGTGGGGCTTGCAGCTGACTCAGTCCCTCTGAGCAGTGTCCTTCACTTTGCCTGTCCCGTCATTCCCTAGATTTTCTCATTCTTCCTTGTGAGGGTGCCCACCTGTTGCCACAGCCCCCACCCTACCCCTTCTGCCCTATCACCATAGGGGATGCTGTGACTGTATGGCTGGGTCTCTCCAATGTTCTCTCTTTCTATGGTTACATGGCATCCTAGTGCAGCCCCACTAGGCTTTTCTTTTCATCACTTTGGAACACTTGCCCTCAGTCCCTTTATACCAGGACACTGTGCCTCAGTCCTACACCTACCTCGCCACTCTGTGGCTGTCCCCATTGGTCCCTTTCTCTAATCTACTCTTTGTGCTCTGTTTATTCTTGCTTATTTCCCGTTTGTCTCTTATTTCTTCCCATCCCCCATCATTTCAGCCCTTAATTTCTTGCTTCCCCGCCCCCACCTCATTATTCCTGTTGTAAACCCTGCTATGAGACATTGGGATCCCTGACCTTCTCATCTCAGTCAAACATCCGTTTCCCATTGTTTGTGCTTCTTTGTTGGGCCCAGATGAGTTCTCCGACCCTCCGTAGTATCTGTCAGTCCGTCTTCTCATTTTTCTGTCCTCCCCACGGGCAGCGTCTGCTAATGGACTTGGTTCTGGTGTGTGTTTGGTGTGATTTGTTCTTCTGTGCGCGAAAGGAAGGGGGCTTTTTGAGTCCCTTCCAAGTGAGATTGTAAATGTAGAATTTTCTACTGTTGGATTTAGACTTTTTTCTTTTCTTTTTTTTGGGGGGGGGGTGGTTTACAGAACTGAGACCTTGTGCATGCATGTAGAAAATTGTAAAATGTAAATTTTTTTTAATATATAAAAAGCTTGTTTTTACAGTTTGCAGTGAATCTAAACATTATGGCAATTTTAGGGATTTTTTCGTAAACATAGGACCTAAAACTGTACAAACTTTTTTTTATATAAAATAAACACATTTGACTTTCATGGGGGCATTTTGTTGTTTTTCTTTTTTTACAGGAGTGGGAGCAGAGGGTCATGCAGGAGTGGATATATGTGCTCCTTGTTAGTGAGTAGGTAGGCCAGGAGGGGGCAGTGTGAACACATCATCGCTGCATTGTCTCTCAGATGTAGGAACAGGAAATTGTCTCTCCTGAGAGGGGACAGATGTGGGAACTGAGGACTCACTTAGCTTTGGGGAGTGAGGGAAGGGGATTGTCAACACAGGGAGGAAAGAAAGATCCATAAGAATTTCAGAAACTAATTGCATTTAGCCAATAGTGACAGCTCATGACATTTCATTAAGAAAATTACCTGAAGTATATGTCTTATTTCTTTTTTTCTTGTACATTTTATTTTATTTCTACTTTTTTATTTTTAAATCATGTTTATTCTATTACAGTTGTCTCAATTTTCCCCCCTTTGCCCTCCTCTACCCATCCCACCTCGCCTCTCCCACAGTCAGTTCCCACTCTGTTGTCCATGTCCATGGGTCATTCATGCATGTTATTTGTTTAGTTCCTTCTCCTACTTTCCCCGTTGTCCTCCTTCCCCATCCCCTCTGGTCACTTTCAGTCTGCTCCATGTTTCCTTGCTTGTGGTTTATTTTGTTTGTTAATTTATTTTGTTGAATAGATTCCACTTATAGGTGAGATCATATAATATTTGTCTTTCACCAGCTGGCTTGTTTCACTTAGTATAACACTCTCCAGTTCCATCCATGTTGTTGCAAAAGGTTGGAGTTCTTTTTTTCTTTTTTTAAATGCAGATTGATTTTATTTATTTTTTTAAATGTCAAGAACCATTATAAAATATTAAAAAATTTAAATCATTCATAAAGTCTCAACAATCATGACACCAGCACAGAAATAATCAAGTAGATCAATGAAATAAAATGAGCGTTCTAGAAACAAACATATATATCTTTTTAACAATGTAATGTATGATTAAATTGATAATCAATGGGTAAGAAAAGGCTTATTCAACATGTAAGGTGCATGGATCACTATTACTTGAAATAAAAAATATAGAGCCCTATTTCACACATTATACAATAAATATTCAGGTGAGTTAAAAAATCAGTATGTAGAATATAAGCAGTTTTAGGAGAAAATATAAAATAATATTCTTCTTACCCTGAAATAACATATTCAAACCCAGAAGCTATAAAGTAAAATATTGAGAATATGACTATATTAAACATTTAACTATACAGTAATATTCATGTAAAAACGTTAAAGAACAATAGAATAGGAAAGTATTTATAACATCTATAAAAAGGTTACTAAATTTTTTTTTTAGGGAAAAAATTCTACAAACATTTAATCAAAAAATGGATAACGAATACCGAAAAGTCATTTAAAGCTTTAAAAAAAAATAATAGAAATAGGCAAGAAATATACAAAAACAAGTTTAGCTTTTACAAATAATGAAGGAACAATTAAAATGACATCAGTGTCACAATCAGATTAATAAGTTTTAAAAATACTGGAAATATCAAGTATTGGTGACTGTGAAAGGAACTGGGTATTCGTAGACTCTTGTTCTTCATCTTCTTAGGCAGACCCTGTAGCATATTTTGCAATGCTGTTTTGGTGGAGGTGGATTCTTTTAGCCTTCTTTTGTCTGAGAAGCACCTTATTTCGCCTTCCA